AGAGTTAGTAAATGGTGACAGAATTTTCATTTTTGGGAAAATCACACACACACACACAAATTGGTGTATAGAAACAGGAAGGAAAAGGAATGGCAAGTAACACATTGAACTAAATATTTAATATTTGTTTTATTTACAACTTCGTAAAATATGTTTACTCTGTATCTCTTTAATTCACCAAATTGCTACTTTGCTTGGCAACTGGAAACACCCTGCTGAATATTTCTGCTTTTTATTAAAAAAAGAAAAAAAAAGAAGTAATTTTACTTGTAAACACCTCTAGTAAAAAGTTATATATTTAAAATACATTTATTTCATACTAAGTATAGTTCAAATCTATTAACATATTTACTGACATATCGCTCGAGACATAAAAATGATATAAAAATAATTCCACTTTAGCACAATCAAATATACTTCAGCATATCTTTAGTTGGACTTCAGCACTTCTGCACAAATAAAGTGCATTAAGTACAAAATTAGTTGTTCCAATTTAGCAGACTTTAAGTATACCAGATTAGTATACCAGAAGTACAATTGCAGGGTATTTTTATTAAGTACATGAATATGTAAATGTATTTGTAGTATACTTAGCATGAAATAGATGTATTTCAAATACATTTTAGTATATTTATTTTTCACTAGGGACTGTTTACTGTGTGCAGCTCTTTATTGAACACTGCTGTTTGTCATATAGTGCTGTTACCACCATTTATTTTAAACAAACCACATGAGTCTGTGTGTTTGAGTGATCTTTTTGAGTGAGTTTTATGGTTAAGAGGCACTCCGTTTTGTGTAAGATCACTGTAATGCACAATCTCTCATGGTTTATTGCTTTAATTTAACCTGATTTCCTCAATGTGCTAGTGATAATCATTTCATTTTCTTGATTACGCAGTTGTGACTCTCTCTCTATACAAATGAAAATAAACATATGATCCATGAAGAAGTTGTGATGCAAAGAAAAGAGTGAAGACCACATCTCCAGTCCCCTTCATCCGATCAACAGAACAGGCTGCATTTCAGAGATGCTGAAGCGTCGGAAAATCGGTCAGTGGAGTGGAATTTCTCTTTATGTCTCTTTCTACCGACCACACAGTCTTGCAGTAATTTTAGGGTTAGGGCCACAGTGGCATCTCCTCTATTCCCATCATTATCTCCATCTGCAACCACATACGGTGGAGTCTACAGTGCAGCTCAACCGAGATGCTGAAACGACATTTAAAGTGTTGGCTGTATGTGAGCTATAGATACTAGCGACGACTCTCACTCCAATTCAGCCAAACAAATGTAGACTATTCGTTGATCTCTCTCTCTACCTAATTGTGTCTGCCGTTAAGCACAAAAGTGACCACACACCTAATGTTTAGTGCCCTTCTAAGTTGTCCTCATTCGAATTTCCTGTTTTATGATTATGTATGTTATCGCTGAAGTCGCTTCATAAACTTTCTGTGGTGATGGTTCCCAAGCGAAACCCCTGTTGAAGCCCCTTCATGTGGCTCAGCTGTGTGTGGTCTTCTGCTCTGAGCGTCTTTCAGAATTGTGGCCCATAGTCTGTTATCTAAATTCTGAATAAATATTCTACCAAGCACTTTGTGTCGCAATAAAAAAAAAAATCATCTTCTTGAACTTTTGACCTGGCTTGCGAATTTACCTGCTAATGACTCTTATCATGTGATTACACACAGTGTGTCAATACCGATTCAGTCGTTACCATAACAAACGGAAAGCCATATAAAATTCACACCCTATTCAGTAGAATATTCATTAAGCATTTGTCTTTATTACTAAGATATCCCTGACAATGTTGTGTGATTGATATACTATTACAGCATATCAGTTTTTTCATTAATATTTTTATGTTAATATTTTCTATTATTATTTTGATTTTCGTAAACATTTAGTAATTTTGTTGTTTTCGTCCTATTTATACTACTACTACTACTTATTATTGTTATTATTAAATTATACATTTGTGCAAATTTTGTCACTTTATTAAATATTTTACTATATTTTTAAAATGCCTTTTATTTCATGTTTCAGTTTTTTTTAGTTGTATTTTAATCAGTTAAACTAAACAAAAAACTTGAGTGTTGCCTTGTCAACTAGCTGAAATAATAATATAATATATTTTATTTTTATAGTAACATTTGTTTTATTTCAAGTAAAATTGTTATGATTTTAGTTTTAGTTAACAATAATGATTTATACAACAGCAAATCATTTTATAATCTCAGTCTTTAAAGGGATATTAAACCTCAAAATAAAGATTCTGTCAATTTACACACCCTCATTCTTCAAAAAGAAGATACGTGGTTTTTTGTTCATGAAAATGAACTTCTTCTGTTTTCTCCAGAGGAAAGGAAGTCCTACAGGTTTGAAATGACACGAGGGTGAGTAAATGATTGCAGATTTTTCATTATTGGGTGAACTGTCCCTTTAAGAGCAGCAAGCCCGAGTGTTTCCACAGAGGTGATTGACTGAGATATACATTAGCTTACACATGCGTCTTTGAGCAACACTTGCTGCTGTATGTTGATGGGCTAAGTAACAAAAGACCTGCTGTTTGAGTGGACTACCACCTGTCCTTCAACAGCACTGTCTTCACAACTTCCCCCACACTTTCAAACCACTCTTCATCCACTCATGACTTAAGTTTCAAGATTTAAGATGGTATTGCCACCTTGGTAACTAGTGTACTTCAAGTGCTTTACATTTTATAATCTCAAATTGCTCTCATGTAAGAACAAATTGTATTCGCAGAGAATACAAAATATTAGCCAGTCTTTAAAGGGATATTAAACCTCAAAATAAAGATTCTGTCAATTTACACACCCTCATTCTTCAAAAAGAAGATACGTGGTTTTTTGTTCATGAAAATGAACTTCTTCTGTTTTCTCCAGAGGAAAGGCAGTCCTACAGGTTTGAAATGACACGAGGGTGAGTAAATGATTGCAGATTTTTCATTATTGGGTGAACTGTCCCTTTAAGAGCAGCAAGCCCGAGTGTTTCCACAGAGGTGATTGACTGAGATATACATTAGCTTACACATGCGTCTTTGAGCAACACTTGCTGCTGTATGTTGATGGGCTAAGTAACAAAAGACCTGCTGTTTGAGTGGACTACCACCTGTCCTTCAACAGCACTGTCTTCACAACTTCCCCCACACTTTCAAACCACTCTTCATCCACTCATGACTTAAGTTTCAAGATTTAAGATGGTATTGCCACCTTGGTAACTAGTGTACTTCAAGTGCTTTACATTTTATAATCTCAAATTGCTCTCATGTAAGAACAAATTGTATTCGCAGAGAATACAAAATAAGAATACTGCTCTCATCATTCACTTAAAGGCCTTAAAATGCAATACAAATAATTATATTCCAAAATGTATTGTAAAATCAATCAAGAATAATGTTTGTGCAAGAGTAACTACTTTTTAATGGTACATTTCTTTTCAAATCCATCTCTTAAGTTCATATGCATGTGTGAAAAAGGGTGTGAGGTGAGAATAGTGGAGTGGGAAGTTAAGGAGATGGCATTGTTAACCAAAGAAATCTCTGAAATGTTGGGAGCAGCCCCTGGTGTGAAAGATTTTGTGGATATGGTGTCGTCAGAGGTGTGGAAAGTGGATTGTTTGACAACAGCAGTGCAATGCAGCAATTAGCTCAACAAACAGGGGTTGCACATCATTTTCAGAATTTTGGTAGTACATTTCAGTAAGAAAGATGGTTTGAAAAACAAATCTCTTTTTAAGAGTTTGAGTAATTTTGAAAATAATATATCAGTTACGTACAAAGAGTATTCCCTATTATAGCCATTTGTTGCTGTTTTTTGTCTAAATGAACTGAAAGTGGGGTGACTGTCGTAAAATGCTCTCTGTCAAACTAATCCTTTCACTTGTGCACTTTTTGTTGGTGACTCCACTGTGTGTCTGTCAGTGGAGCAGCTAAGTAGGGGTCTCAACCACAGGGAGCTTGACTCCTAAATTCCTAAGAGTTGCTATGGGACACTTTTGTCATTATTGAAGTATTGTACTCAAGCTCTTACCCGTTCTGCTTACAGTTGATGCATTTTCCAACAAAACAGCATCTTTGATTATACCATTTTTTTTATCAAGAAACATAAAATGAATATACAATTTTGTATTTTAGTGTGATTGACATACACTATATAATTTTCATTAGCATTTTAAAATTTGTTTTTTCATGTACATTTTTCATTATCATTTTAATTTTAGTTGACGTATTGATAAGTTTGTTATGTTTTCATAATTCTTGTATTTGTTTTTCTTTTTTTTAAACATCTACATTTTATATTAGGTTTAGATATTTAGCACAAGATCACAAAAAGGAAAAAAATAGCCTTTTTGGATAAGTTAAAAAGAATTTAATTTAATTTAATTTTGTTTCAAGTAAAATGGTTATGGTTTTAGTTTTAGTCAACAGTAATAACCCTCATCCCATATTGACTATACATGCATGCCATACTTTAAAAGGATAGTTTAACCATAAATAAAGTGTCTGTCATCGTTTATACACCCTAATTTTTTTCATCTGAACTGAAAGTGAGAACACAAATCACAATTTTGCTTTTTTTTTAAAACAATAAACATGACATAAATGAAAAATAAATGCTATAAAGACCAAATTTACTGTAATAGTTTATTTCTACAATGCATTGGATATCAGTTCAAAATATAATGTAAAAAATTATGGCATTTGTTGTATGGTTTTAATTGTTGGGCTACTGCTGAGAAAATCGTGATCTTTGACATGGATAGAAAAAAAACATTTAAAGGGGAGATAGCTACATCCATTTGATTGTCTAGCCTACTGTACATTTTACAGGTAAGCTACACGCTGAAAGAAAAGTCAGGGGCGGGGTCCCAGCACGGAACTCATACATGTCAATGCCATAGACTGTATGCCCATGAGTCATGACCACCTTCCTATAAAGATGTCGATCACATTCCAGCGGGCGGGGTGCATGAAGCTCCGCGTTTCTCACAAAATGAGTCTGTCGAGAGCGCAGCTGGAGCAGCAACTGGACTGAGCGTGGAGCAGACAACATTAACTGTCCACTCCGAACACAAAATGGATTACAGACGGGTTAAGCGTATTTTATTTGTCAGTGTATTTATGAACTTTGTATTTATTTCTCTTCAGAAAAAGGAAGGTACGTGGAATTTATTCTTTCAAACTTTCTAAACTTCTCACTCAGGATCTCGCACACATGGTTTAAAGCTTTGTAGCCTACTGTGCCGTGTATAGCTACCTAAACGTCTCTATGGAAATCATTTTCATTGTTGCAATGTTTGGCATAGTGTTAAATCAACCTGTGTGAGAAATATTTAATAGCTACTGGTTTCGTCGATCCGGTGCAAGTTTGTGCGTAAAATGTAATTGTAAGTTTGAATAGGTTACCTCGAACTGTTGAAATTGTTTAAAATGTAATATATGCCTTTAATAGGCTGTTTTATATCTAAATAGCATGTCGCATTTAATTTAGGCTATCTCACGCGAACGTAAAACATAGGCTACTAACCGGACTTTGCAACGAGTCTTTCTATTATGAATTTTTATTATTATTTTAATTACCGGTAGTAGCCTAATAGTAGCAGCAAACATAATTTCCACGTTTGTTTCTAGTAGTATTCCTGTATGCATTTACTTTATTGTTGCTGTATCAATTACTGCTGTTGTGTATCCTGACAAAAATATTTAACATATGATATTTTTGCGTTATTGTCACAGAGGTGCTGCTGGATATGGTGGCTTCGGGAGCAGAGTTGGGTTGGTTGACATCGCCTGTAGAGCACGGGGTGAGTTTACTGTAGGCTACTTCTACCGTAAGAACCTTCAGTTATATGTGCTGGATTTCTTTTCGTTTGCTTGTAATTTTTGACTGAACGGGTTTTTTCCTTATTGGACACGTGTAATTCAGACTTTACCCTCAAAACGTTCCTGGAAAAGTTTTGAGGATTGCACATACTTTGCCTGCTGAACACTTGTAGGCTCGTGCGATTTTAAAGCCCTGTGTTAGCGACTGTAAAACTGAGGGTGTAATTAACTTTTAAAGGTTGGCGCATATGGTGCTTTTTGTGACGTGAGCCGAAGAAGCTATAATGTTAACTAGAATTTAGAAGCATAACTGGTTTTGAAATCAAAAGGATGTGCTTTATAACGTGGTAGCTGGTTTATAACTGGTATAGACCAAATTGGACCAGCAACGAACCGTTCTGGTCACAGTTTCTTAGGGTAGTCAAGCTGGGTATTAAGGAATGATAGCTGGTTGACTAGGTTAGATCAGCTAGTGTATTTTAAAACCATGTTCCAAAAGAGCTACTTGGTTTTCCAGCAGGGAATGATCTTGGATGGCAAGTACAGACTTGTTAAGTTTCCTTCCCACCAATACCTTAAAACGTGGAAAAAGCAAATGCCCGCAAAATAATTAAATCTCAAGCATTTTCCTTTAGACTCTCATGGAAAAAGCTGATAAATTAAGAATGTGAACAAGGTGTCAGCATGTTCAACTTTATAGAAAGTTAACGGCACTCTTAATGAGCTGCTGTTTATCTAAAGAGTTCAATGTCTTTTAAATGTATGTAATGCTTTAGCCTAAACCACAAAGTTCCTTTTATATGGAAGCATTCGTTGCAGAGACCGTTTTACTGCCATACCACACACTACGAAAACAATGCACCTCTCCTGTAATTAATATCACGGTGCACATGAAATTAGAGCTAAGAACACACATGCACACTGCATGTGAACAGATATGTTACAGAACATTACATCAGTCATGCAATAGAAAGACTTTTGCATTGTTCCTTGCCAGAAGTTGGTGGGTAATTGACCAGCATCCTCACTACTACTTAAAATTCCACGGTCAGGACATTTCGTGTTATTTTTGTCCTCAGCATTCGCTGGCATCTTTTCTTTGAAATTTTGTTTCCACAATCTTGGTTTTGATTTCTTGCTAACATCCATTTTTTTATTTCACGTTGCAGTGGGAGATAGGCCAGCGGGCTGTGAACGGCTCTCTGTTGTATAACTATTATATATGTAACGTGGAGGAACGAGAACAAGACAACTGGCTTCGTACTACATTCATCCAGCGCCACCCCACAGCCTCTCGGGTCTTCGTGGAGCTGCGATTTGTAGTCCGTGATTGCAACTCTTTCAATGCAGACTCGCTTATCTGCAAGGAGACCTTTAACTTGTACGCCTCTGAGGCCGACGCGGACATTGGCACTGCTTTCCGCAAAGGCCTGTTCCGCAAAGTGGCCACCATTGCTCCAGATGAAATATCCAGCCTTGGGGAGATGAAGATGAACATTGAGACAAAAGTAGTGGATAATCTTTCTCGCAAGGGCTTCTACTTGGCCTTCCAGGACATTGGGGCCTGCGTTGCCATCTACTCTGTCAGGGTTTACTATAAAACTTGTCCAGCAACAGTGAAGAGCTTGGCAGAGTTCCCTGAGACTGTGGCAGGGGGAGAGAATCAAGCCCTACGGGAGGTGGCTGGAAGTTGCGTCTCAAACGCTGTAAGCGAGGACCAACCTCGCATTTATTGCACCACGGATGGGGAATGGGTGGTACCTGTGAGCCAATGCCAGTGCAGACCCGGGTTCGAAGCCATGAACGATGCATGCCAAGGTAAGATATAAGTTTCTTTGTTTGGTTTCCACAGGCTGAGTCCAGCACCAGCTGTTGTCACTTAAGATTTCTGGTTTGGGTCAGGAATTTGAATATTGACTAGACTTCCACATAGATTATGATTAGCATTCAGTTGTAGTATATCATTATATAAATTACTGTATTATTTTACTAAAATGTTTTGTATTATTGTGAATTTTGTCTATCCTTACCATACATGCTTGTGGCTTGTGATTATTTTTCAGCACTGTATATAAGAAATACTAAGAAATATTATAAAAATTATTTTTTTTCTTTTCTTTAATGGCTCTCATTTTATACAATGTAGCATACTTTTCACACACTATATTTTTCACTTTTTAAGTTGCTTTTTGTAATAATGATTGGCTATATATACAGCTGGATATATATACAGTATATATTTAGAGAGATAATTTTTGTTCGTTATACCTCTGTAAAATGTAGCGTACTTTCTAGACACTGTATTTTACACATTTTAAGTTGCTCATCAGCCATTTTGTTCATGCTGTCACTCTTAAAATTTCAAGTGCTTTGAAACCTGTTTGCTCTTTTTCACTGTGCGTTTGACTCCCATAACCCCCAGCATTCTTTAAAACACAAGTTCAGACGTCAGCGACTTTTGCAAACCTATTGTGCTTTAGGCAGAACGTTTCAATTACAGCTTTAGGCCTAAATCTCGCATTGAGGATGTGACAATTTCTCATTTTTATTTGGCGTATGTCACCGTTTTTTTTTTTTTCTCCTCGTGTTCTTATCCCTGCCACACCAGAGCAAGATCAGCCATGTGACAGTCCTAAAGTGCTTTGTGACTGTGGAAATGAGAGCACTGGCATGTTGGGACTTGATTAGAATAATTCCGTTTTAAACGTCCTCTAACCTCAACACTTTTAACATATTTTCTCAATTCAGCCACATGCAGTGACAGGTAAAATACAGGCGAGTGAAACTCAAATGATAGCAAAGTTTCAAACAGGGCATCTGGGTTACAATTTCTTAATTGTAGCGGTTACAGATTACAGTGGCCAAGCTCATGCGCATGCATTTTTTTGGTTCGCGCACATTCCTTGTTTTATAGTCCAGGAATTGTGGGAACAGGTGTGTGTGCATGGTTTAGAATGGGAATAGATAAAGTGTCAGACTTTGGAGAGGGAGGAGATTGTAGTGGAAAGGTGGAGAATGGAATTTAAAGGTAGCAGAACAATGTAGTGCTGTGTTCCGAGACAAACCCCCCTCTGCATCCGCCCCCCCCCCCCCCCCCC